CTTTCTTCTCTTTTCCTTCTCCCCCTCCTCCTCCTCCTCCTTCTCACTGCCATCAAGTCAATTCCAACTCACAGTGACCCTATAGGACAGGGTAGACTGCCCCTGTGGGATTCTGAGACTGTAACTCGTTACAGGAATAAAAGCCTCATCATTCTCCCAAGGCGTGGCTGGTGGTTTTGAACTGCCGATCTTGTGTTAAATAGCCCAACACGTAACCATTATGCAACCAACACTCCTGACAGAGCACCTGGTAGGTTCGAATAACTGATCTTTCAGTTAGCAGCCTAACCCATAACCCATTCTACCACCAAGGCCCCTTCATGGGTATAGTAGAGAGGAAAACTGAGCATTATAAGAAGTGGGCTTCATTTTCTGTTTTTGACACTTAACAACCATGCTGCATTGGGTCTCCATTGCTTCATCAACCATTTAGGGATAATCCTTACAGCAGCTACGTGCCTGAAGAAGGATCCTAAAAGTGGTCACCAACAGTCGTAGAAAAACCAAGAGAGAGTTCCAGAATTCAAATGGATAATATGTGAATATCAATAGGAGCTATACGGACACAAAAAGTATATGAAAAAAATATGTAATTCCCACAGACTTGTAATATGGTTATATACCGACAAGAAGATATAGAGATATCTTTGACATGTTTAGCATCAGTAGAAGTTGCAAACTTTAGGCGCAGACCAAAGGATTACACTCAGACAGCCAAACCCATTGTCATTGATTCATTCCCATCTCATGCGACCCTGTGTAGGTTTTCTGAGACTGTCAATCTTTACAGGGTGGACAGACTCATCTTTTTTTCCTGTGGAGCAGCTGGTGAGTATCAACTGCCAACTTTGGAGCCAGCCCAAAGCCTAGCCCACAGTGCCTTAGGTGTTGCATAAGCGGAATCCAGCCAAGGGGTTCCTGTGACATCCTTCTCGGTCCATTAAAGTTATGAAGCCACTGGGCTAGCAATGCCATAAAGGCTCAGAATCTAACGGAAGGAGGAGAAGAAAGAGAAGGTCATGTTTCATCTGGGCTCAACCAGAGCCCAGTTGGGTAACTTTTTCTTCAGGCAAGTAAGAAAGGAACGTTAAACATCACATAAAAAATCAACCTCATTAAGTTGTGAAAAGCAATGGAGACTTTTTCTAAGTGAAGAAGGATCTGTCATCAGCAG